CGTCGCCCACATTTTCAATAAACGAAACGACAGCGGAGGCTGAGAGCTGGCACAGAACAAGCAGGGCGCACGGACTGTGTGCGTCCCTTCCCTGCGCACGTCTGAACCCGGTCACAACGCAAAGTACCTTTCACTCTGGAGCAAGGCCAGGCAGCCTGAGGGCCCCCAGCGTCCTTCCTGGACTCTCACGGGAGCTGCCTGGGAAACGGGGGATGGACCCGCGGCCCCGTGAGCGCGTCCAGGTGGGGGTATGACAAACGGATGAGGCTCTCAGGCCCACTGCCAGGTGCCTGATCTCCCAGAACCGGGGAAAGAGGGAAATGAGGACACCAGCTGAGTGCCAAGCAGAGCCCTTACCCCTGCGCCCCGGGTACACGTGCGGGTAGTACTCGTAGTAGAGGTCGGGCTGGTCCAGGCTGCCGAAGGGCTCGAACTCCAGCTCCGCGTTCTGGAACAGGCCCAGCTTCACCAGCAGCGCCAGCCGCACGAACCACAGCTGCGCACGTGGAGGACAGGTCACCCCAGGGTGGACCTGGGCACGGGCCGGCCTGATCCCCCTCCTCCAGGCACCCCCTTAACTGCTCCGGGGACCTGTGCCCACACCAAGAGCTGCAGGAGGCAGGACCCCAGGGCCTCTGTGGCGACGCCCCCCTCCCCCACGGCTCTTCCTCCTCACACTAGTTCTGTATCCGTATCCGAGAACTGCTGTTACCAGGGAGAGCAGCCCTGAGGAGGCCGGCCCCTCCCTGTGGGCCACATCCCAGCCCTGTCCCAGCCCCTCCCCCAGCAACTCTGCAAGGACACTGGGTGCCCAGCCTCCAGACTCCTGGTCTCGGGACAGAGACAAGTCCAGGTCACACCTGTGTTGTCACAAAGGAGGACCAGAGCATTCTCACCCTGGGATTGAATTTGGGGTTTGAAACCCGCTTTGTTCCCACTGTTCTTAGTGGAAATCCACCGCCGCCCTCCAGTTTCTGCTGCTCTGAAAGGCAGAGGCAAGACGGGCCCTCGAGCCCCGGGCCGTGTGCTGGACGCAGTGGCAGCGCCCGGTCGCCCGCCTAGCAGAGGCCACCGGGCGAGGCCGAGGTCCTCGCCACACGTCCACCAGGCAGGAAGGGGCCAAGCACGCGACGCAGCCCAGGAGAACTCGCAGGACGCCAGCACGTCACTGCCGACGGCCACGGCGAGAACCTGGGGAAAGCTGGCCGCAGCCCACGTCCAGCTGCCCGCCTTTCTCCCACGATAACCATCTGTGAGCTCTTTCTGCCTCACCTTCCAGTTTAAGATCAACACTCTAACGGGAGGCTGTGCTGGCTACGTGTGCGTGTGCTGTGAGGAGTTCTGTATGTTTACATGCTTCCAGTATTAACAGGAAAGCCTCGAGGAACTGCACTGCTGCGACCCGTCACAGGCCAGTCTATCAACACA